AAAAAAGGATTTATTTTATCAGATATCCCATTGTTTTCTCGTGCAGCCAAGTGATTTTCATTAAAATATTCTTCTTTTTGTCCTGCAGAAAAGGGTATTTCACACATTTCATGCCTGCAACAACCTCAGCAATAAAGGGATTTTAATGGCTTGGTTGTGTTTTCTATCAAGAAATAGTAACTGAGAGCCTATCATTAAATCAGTTTTATTCAGGCTCAGAAATGCCCTCACATTACTTTGAAACAAAGAGTAAATTTGGATTATTAGACAAGGAGGGAGAGAATTCTTGGATACTCAGACTAATGAAAACAACATGTCCACAGGAAAAAAAAAAAAAAAAAAAAAAAAAGCATATCTGCTTTAAAAATATTATTGTGTCTGAACATGGCTTTGAGCATGTGAGTTATGTGACATTTTTGGGGAAGTTACAGAGGAGGAAAAGAAAAGAAATGGGGGTAGGAGGAGGCAGAGTCTCAAGTCTTTTATTTTACTACAGCCAAAAGGAGGAAATGTAACTTTGGAAAAATTGAGAATTGAAAATATCGAAATTTTAGGGAGGGTTGAGGGAAATGTTGAGCTTTCATTTTCTTTTCCCACAGAGGTTAAAAATAAAAATAAAAAAAAAATTATCATAGCTTTAGCTCAGACAACTGAAGGATTGTTTTGGGGGCTGTTCTTCCCCATTCCAGTTGCATCCCAGGGATTTTCTTTTTGGAAATCCAAAATACCAAAATTCCACAGATCTGAGTGCTGCCACCACTGGCACAGCTGGAGCCACTGAGAGCACCTCTGGAAATGACTGTGTGCTAACAAAAAGGTTGTTTTTTTTTTTTTTTGGCAATAAACCATCATCTGAGCCTCGGGAGCAGAGAGGAACAAAATTTCACTACATGTAAATAATGGCCTAAAAATAGAAGCACAGATTGTTTTTCTCATTAAGTTCCTTCTCCATCCTCCAGTATATTCTGAAAAGAGAGCAACGATCAAAAAACCCCCAAAAAATTGAAAATGAAGAGCCTGGGTGAGGTTTGTCTGTAAAAACCACTGGTAAGATCATTTTAAACCTGATTTTTTTGTATCTTCTTTTTTAGTTCCCTTCCTTATTTTTAATGGAGTTGAAGCCATTCTTGGGCTGGGTTTTTTTTTTTGTTGTTGTTTTTTTTTTTTTCCAGCAAGTTTTGAGAGAGGACTCTGTGGTTTATGGCCACGTGTCAAGTTTGATAGTGTTATGCCATAATTCAGCAAAACACTCCAAGCACACATCCACATCCCACTGAATTTGGGAGGAAGTGAAGAAACAGAGGAAAAGCTGCTCTGCTGTGCAGCACTCTCATTCAGGGGGAAAAAAAAAATAAAATAAAATATTGAAATAAAGCAAAGATTCGTCTCCACACAATTCTAGATCTTTTCAGCCAAATTCCTTCAACTCGACCCAAACTCATTGATCATATTAGATCATGGTTATGACGTGGATTTAATAATTCCAAATTCTCCACTGGGCTGGCTCAGAGCACTGAAATAGATGGGCTAATTCTGGGAGCTGTGGGCGTGCTGGAGTCATCTGACTTTTTATTTTATTTATTTATTTTTATTTTTTTAAGCTATCTCACCGAGCACCCTACCCCCCCTCCCCAAACCAGGAGAGAAATCCTCATTACTCACACGATTCTCTAATTGCTGCTCATTTTTCTGAGTGCCTCCTTTGAACGTGGCACAACTCCACCAAAGTGCACTCTGGAAATGGGATGGAGAAGAAAAAAAAAAAGGTGTTAGCAAGGAGTTTCTGGAGAATGTTTCTGGGTGAAATGCTTGGAAATGGAATGTTTGGGAAGAGTTGTTTGATTTGCTCAGCAGATCAGGATTTCATATATATCCTCACCTCAAACAAGAGGCCATCAAAAATGTGTTTATTGAATATATATAATTTATACATGTTCCTTTTCTGGGTTAATTATATGTGACCTGTCCACCTCGGTCCAAATCCATAAAATTTTGTCCATTGTCATCCCTACTTGGAGTTGTTTTCTTCAGGACTTCACATAAATATTCTTACCAATAAACAGCACTATATTAAAAAAACCTCCTTAAATACATCTGGCACCTCTCTCCCATTCTTCTTTTAACATAAACGACCTAATTTTAAATGCTGGGTAAACCTCTGAGTTAAATGTTACAAATTTTAATCCTGTAATTACCACTCATGGTTATCTTTACCACTGTGGATCCAACAGTTTTAACTTGCAGAGTTGAGCCATTCAAGTTTTATTTTGTTTTTCAGTGACCATAATCTAAAGTGCTTTCTGAACGTAGGGTGATGGATTTTATGGCAAAGTAGGAAATTTTGTCGTCTTTGTTCTGTTCTGTGCATTAAGGTGAAGGCCAAGGAGAGAAATCGTCATGGTGATCTATACAGAGTAACACACAGGTAGAAAAAAAGCTGAATCAAGCTATAATGACATAAATACTAATATTTAATCCATCCAAATTCACATCTGATGGCATCATCTTGCCAGGCAGAATTTTGGGAGATCTTTTCCCCTCTTCGCTACCTGGCTTGCTGTTGGAAGAACACAAATTTTCTTCAAAATTGAAAAGAAGCGGACAAAATCGGATCGCAACTCTGCTGTTTGAGACTCCTAAAACACCTGTAGTGCTTCAACAGGAAAACCCGGGCAAGCTCACCATGATTCCTGAACTTCTCCGCAATAGCCCAGGGGAAATAAAAGTTATAATTCCCCGGAATAAAGCTTGTAATTCCCAGAAATAAAGTTCCTCATTTACCGCTTGGAGCACACCAGGAGCCGGAGGTCGCGCCAGAGCCCTCAGAGGTACCCCGGCCCCATCCCGTTCCACTCCTAAAAGGTTTTAAACCCGCCGATTAACTCGCAGGAGGCGGAGCTGTAAAATCTGAATTTAATAAACTGATTTTTGACTGCAGGAATGCGCATCCCCCGCATGGTGAGCGCGCCCGCAAGGCTGAGGGGAGCCGGGGCGCCCGCAGGGACCCGCGCCCCTCACGGCCATGGAGGAACCGCGGGGGCCGCCAAACTTCGCGGCCGGGGCGGCGGCCACACGGCATTAACGGGAACAGCACCGAGAACCCCGGCGGTGCCACAGCCCCGGGGAGGCTCGGGGACAGCACCGAGAACCCCGGCGGTGCCTCAGCCGCGGTAGCGGAGCTCGGAGCGGCCGGGACTCCCCCCTCGCCCGATGGAGGAGGCACAAAATGGCGCCGCGATTCAAACGCTGCGCGCTGCGGGCGGGCGGGGCGGCGGCGGGGGGGGGGCGGTGTCCCGGCGGGGTTCACTGCGCCTGCGCGCAGAGTCGCAAGATGGCGGACAGTGCGGAACTAAAGGTAAAGCGCAGCTCCGGGTCCCCCCGCGGCGCCGCCGGGGCCGCGGCCGAGAGCGACCCGCGGTGAGGTGAACGCCGGCGGTGCGGGCGTGGCGGAGCTCGGCCGGCAGCGGGGGAGCTGACGGGGAGGGGTGGGTTGGGGAGCGGAGCGCGGAGCTGCCTCCCCTCGGCGCCCCCCCCCCCCCCCCCCCCCCCCCCCCCCCCCCTCATTTTTTGGCCGGCCGAGCTCCGCCGGGCGGCCCCAGCCGGGAGCCGGGGCAGCGCGGGCGGCTCCGCTCCGCGCCCGCCGCTTCGGGGGCCGCGCTGCTGCCGGCTGAGGGCGGCGGCCGGGGGAGCCCCCGCGGGGCTTGGGGGGCTTGCGGGGGGGACGGAGGGACGGAAAGCCGGGCTCCCCGCGAAGTTTGCAGGGCAGTCCGGCGTAGGGAGCCGGCCCCGGGTGGCCGCGGTGACAGCGGGGGGAGCGCGGCGGGCAGCGCGGCTCGCCGGCCCTCCGGTAAATAAAGAACGTCACAAGCAGATGTGGAGGAGTTCCGCGGTGTTGAGCTGGCGGCCGTCCCTGTCATCCTGAGAATCGCATGGAAACGGGGCGCTCCGAGCCGGGCCGGCTCTCCCCGGGGCGGGGATCGCTGCGTTTGGGGGCTTTTTTTTTTTT